TAGACAATATTTCAATTTGTCAACGACTGGACTAGAAAAGAGATGTTGAATATTCATTTGGAACATTTTTTAAGAAGAGTGTTATAGATTACAATACAACAAGCTACACGGTTCTTCTTGTTGGCTCCTAACCAACTCATGGCAAGTCTTCATGTCCTTTGCTATTGCTTGCTGCTCACCCCATGTCCTCTCCGTTGTTTTTTTAACTTTATTCTCTATGTGAAGGGGTTTTTTTTTTGGGGGGGGGGAGAAAGGGGGGGGGGGCTCTGCTTTTATTTCTGTACCCCTGTGAGTTCCATTGCACAGATATTCTATTTATATTATTCTAATGTTTTCTAAAACTATGTTTTGTTCAACGCCAGCGTCTCCTCTTCATAGCTCCATAATTATATCTCATTTACATATTCCTATAATTTATTAGCAGCAGTAATTATAGCAATTGTGACAAAGTAGTTGGATCCCACTTCAATCTCTAGAAATGGCAGAATTATTATGTTTATCTGATTACAGTTATGAGGCTCACAGAACGTCTTTACATTTCTAGATAATTTTTTTTCCCTCATTAAAACAGCTTTTGATTAAGGTATTTGACTACTTAACCCCACCATGCAATAGCCTAGATTTTATGACAGAGACACCATATTAAAACCAGCAGCTTTGTCTGCCGTCTGATTATCACCTTTTCTTCTTCTTCTTCTTCTTCTTCTTCTTCTTCTTCTTCTTCTTCTTCTTCTTCTTCTTCTTCTTCTTCTTCTTCTTCTTCTTCTTCTTCTTCTTCTTCTTCTTCTTCTTCTTCTTCTTCTTCTTCTTCTTCTTCTTCTTCTTCTTCTTTTCTTCTTCTTCTTCTTCTTTCTTCTTCTTCTTCTTCTTCTTCTTCTTCTTCTTCTTCTTCTTCTTCTTCTTCTTCTTCTTCTTCTTCTTCTTCTTCTTCTTCTTCTTCTTCTTCTTCTTCTTCTTCTTCGTCTTCTTCTTCTTCTTCTTCTTCTTCTTCTTCTTCTTCTTCTTCTTCTTCTTCTTCTTCTTCTTCTTCTTCTTCTTCTTCTTCTTCTTCTTCTTCTTCTTCTTCTTCTTTTCTTTTTCTTCTTCTTTCTTCTTCTTCTTTCTTCTTCTTCTTCTTCTTCTCTTCTCTTCTTCTTCTTCATCGTCGTCTTCTTCTTCTTCTTCTTCTTCTTCTCTTCTTCTTCTTCTTCTTATTTTTCTTCTTCTTCTTCTTCTTCTTCTTCTTCTTCTTCTTCTTCTTCTTCTTCTTCTTCTTCTTCTTCTTCTCTCTTCTTCTTCTTCTTCTTCTTCTTCTTCTTCTTCTTTCTTCTTCTTCTTCTTCTTCTTCTTCTTCTTCTTCTTCTTCTTCTTTTTCTTCTTCTTCTTCTTCTTCTTCTTCTTCTTCTTCTTCTTCTTCTTCTTCTTCTTCTTCTTCTTCTTCTCTTCTTCTTCTTCTTCTTCTTCATCTTCATCTTCTTCTTCTTCTTCTTCTTCTTCTTCTTCTTCTTCTTCTTCTTCTTCTTCTTCTTCTTCTTCTTCTTCTTCTTCTTCTTCTTCTTCTTTGGAATTCTTCTTTCTTCTTCTTCTTTTCTTCTCTTCTTCTTCTTCTTCTTCTTCTGGTTCTTCTTCTTCTTCTTCTATTCTTCTTCTTCTTCTTCTTCTTCTTTGTCTCTTCTTCTTCTTCTTCTTCTTCTTCTTCTTCTTCTTCTTCTTCTTCCTCTTCTTAGCATTCTTCTTGTTCATTCTTCTCGAAACTTCTTCCTTCTTCTTTTACTCCTGTAATGCTTTGAAGCCTCAGGAGAGGAAGAGATCTTTGGAATGGGCTCTTCTGTTCGCTTCGTATATAGTACTTTTCAGTGTCTGATATTTTTTTATCCTTGTTCTGTGTGGTTGACCTCTGGATCTGTTACAGCTGTATATGTTTAACATTGCTCTCTGTAGTGCCATGGCAAAAACACTTGGTCTGTTGTCTACCAATAAAGTTCAGTATCGGTTCTGTGCCGACTTTCCTCCGAGATATCATAGTTTCCAAGTTGATCTTTCCTCGTTACACATAGCATAGTACGTAAACGAGGAGTTGCTTGATGCCGAAGGAGCCAACTCTACCAAAAAGGAAAATTGGCACGATTGTGAAACAAATTATCATTTTCATTTAAGACGATAAGCCAGAGATCCCAGAGCCAAATAAGAGGATAAATAGGTCATTTGACGAATAAATTACACAGAAGTTCTTATGGCAAATTTATTGTCTAGTAAATTTTGTTGCAGTAAATTAATTATTAGTAAATTTGTTATTAGTGAATTGAAAGATATACTGAGTATTCTAAGATTTGAGCGCTCTTCATGTTCGAAGCAATAAACCGTGTTTTATTGCTGAAGTTTTCTTTCTCATCTACCTCACTGTTGGCATCAACTTGTCTGTTGGTATCTATCTGTCTGCTAGCATCTACTTGTCTGGTGGTATGCACGTGTCTGTTGGCATCTATTTGTTGCTATCCACCTGTCTTTTGGTATCTATTTGTTTCTTGGTATGTACTTGACTGTTGGTATCTACTTGTATGTTGGTAACTATTTGTCTGTTGGCATGTACTTGTCTGTTGGCGTTTACCTGTATGTTGGCATTTATCTGTATGTTGGCATTTACCTGTATGTTGGCATTTATCTGTATGTTGGCATTTACCTGTATGTTGGCATTTACCTGTACTTTGACATATACCTGTCTATTGTCATTTAATTGTCTAATGGCGGTCTTAATCGCTAAATTATGAAGCCGTTTGCATCAGAATCTGAAGTTTGTGGGTTTGTTATAAGGCATGTCATCTGTTCATCATAGACACTGGATGGAGTTCAAGATTTCGTACCTCTTGCATCGGTTGGTAGACTGCTCTATGTGTAATGAAATATAGGCAGAAAGGGGTTAAACGAATAAAGCATACGTTTCAGAGGAGCATAAAAGCACACCTATCCCTCACTCGTTGGCATGACAGAATACAGTGATTTGAAAGCTGGCCTGGCCAGCTATACAGAACATCGGCACGATAACCGCCATGACATCTGACAGTGAAGGATGAAACATTCGACGAGTACCCGTGAGCAAGCAGATGCACTGTGACCAGCTGAAGAGATACGTTCATCCAAACGTGACCACCAATGACAGGTGACAGGGAAGTGATTGAGAAGGCACGCCAGAAAGAGCGGGAAAGCGGGTAGTAAAGTCAGTCCAAGTCCAAGTCCTTTTGAGAAAAAAAAAGAAAAGCTCGACCACGTTCAGACTGCTGCTAGCTAGCCTAGGCTGCTAACAGTCTCCGCCTATATTTGTGGTCTGGGTTATTTGCGTCACTTTCGTGACTGAGCTTGAGAAGACAGGACCGGACCGCTTGGAAGACCAGTTGAGAAAACTAGTGCTGTACTTCGTTTAGACGGTATATGTTAAACTTGGAGTTTAGCTAGAACAGTGATTAAGGAACTCGTAGAGAGACATAAGAATAGACAGTAACAAGATAATGAAGTGTTCATATTCTATTGCTTATTGAATTTATGAAGTCTGTGTGACGAGAATATTGTGAATAAACCAGCTCTTGTGTAATTATTATATCACTGGCCTTGTTCTTGAGTACGATCGAAGAGAGCTACGAACTATATCCATTCACCCTTGGCCGAACTAGGCACATCTATTTCTTGGGGGATGTCAAGGCACGACTGTGCCACGTATGGATTACGACAGTCAGGTGGGACAAACTGCTGTGCAGAGAAGTGGGTCCTTTCCCCGTAACTATCTGCAATCACTTTGGTAATTCCCCCCTACACATTCACACACACACACACACACACACACACGCACACACACATACACATTTAGGTCTGAAAGGTACTACGAGCTGACATCCATATTTTGGACAAGCTTCTCGTCGATAATGATATTATCTTCGGCATAGACTGGACCAGCTCTAGGAAAGCCAGCTAATGCAGTGATGATCTACATTGAAACCAAGTCTAACAATGCCGGCTGAAGAATTAAAGATCTACATGTCTGAAGTCCAAACATCGTTGGCTAAACTGAAAAGGAAAAAATTTCGTCTAAACATTCTTGTCTCACCGTGATACATCATCGTCAGTTAGCATGTTCTTTACAGAACGTCGATCTCTCTGTCACTCTCTAGCTTTTCTCCAACCCTGTGTGCTTTCACGGCCAATACTTCTTCTGTGTCCTGAATTCATCTTCATGGGGGTTGGCGTCTAGCTCGCTTTCCGGAAACTGCACCTTCCATCTTCATCTTCTCCAGACCACCATGGGGCTTGAAATGGTCAAAATACCCCAGCTTTTGGGACAGGATGCTGTTTATAAGCCAATCTTGTACAGGTCTTGCAGGCTGGTGGCTTTTTTCTTCTTCTTCGTCGATAGTATTCTAAGAACAAAATAGAAGCACACAGATTGATTTAAAGGTCGATGAATAAATACTGTGGAATTTGCTGTGCGCAATGTCAAGACTCTTGACCACCGAACTGGCAGTCTTGGGTTCGAATAAATTAAAGGGCTGAATTTTTATAAACAGGGTTTCCGGGGCGACCTAGCCTACAATGCCCTAGGAAGTAAGTTCCATCGTGATGTTGACCGCAGTAAGTTCAAAACATGTACCTTGTCTAGAAAATATACTAAAGAGTCATGATTGTCTGATATGATCTAGCCTGTACTTGAACTGTAAACTGGATGGTTGGCTAGTTAATTATTTGGGTGGTTTCATTGTGGGTTGGTTGTCTAACTAAATATTTGGTTATTTGGATAGTTGGACTGTTGTGGTACTGAACCACTACCTAGCGGGCACTGCCTGTTAAAAAGTCATGAAAATCATTGTGGAAGAACGTTACTGAAACTTCGCATGCATAAATGTGACTCATAAGTATGGTTACATTACTGAAACTTCACATGGAAAAACAAGCCATGCGTCTCCTAGATATTGTTACATTATTGAACCTTCACATGCAGAAAATGTTATGTATCTTCTAGAAATTGTTACTTTGCT